TGGCCCAACCAGTTATTAGGTTTAGGGGGCAAACACTTTTTCACACAGGGCCATGTAGTTTTGGATTTTGTTTTCCCTTAATAATAAAAACCTTAATTTAAAAACTGCATGTTGTGTACACTTGTGTTATCTTTTACTAATATTTAAATTTGTTTGATGATCTGAAACATTAAAGTGTGACAAACATGCAAGTAATCAGGAAGGGGGCCCACTCTTTTTCACACCACTGTATATATATATATATATATATATGTATATGTGTGTATGTATGTGCGTGTATATATATATATATATATATATGTGTCTGTATATATATATACCTTGCTACGTGTACTGCGTCAGGCTTACCGAGACTTGTCATTTGCACTTATATATTGTTGCTCTTTTGTTAATTTTGACTGCTTTTATTGTCCTCATTTGTAAGTCGATTTGGATAAAAGCGTCTACTAAATGACTAAATAAATAAATAAAATATAAAAATGTAGAATAATAATATTAGTAAAGTTTTTTGTATGTTTATTTCTAAATTAACAGTGAAAATGAAAGTGTTTCATTAAAATATTCTGAATATTCAAAATATTTTAGATTTTTTTTTTTAAATAACTGAGTTTCCACCATCATGAAAACCTAAAAATATCAGGGAATTTTGAAATGTAATTGCCATTAAAACCTCAATATAGTCATAGAAATGTCAAATTACCAGCCACAATTCTGGCCTTCCTTCACTAATTAATGTCAGTCAATAAATAAACAGAATGACATCGAATGATGAGAATAATCTGATATTTTATTTGAGATTTTGTCTCTCTGTGCATGAACAGTGATTCAGTTTTATTCAGGATTGTGTGATTTATTTTTAATCTTAAATGTGCATCTGTTGGGATAGAGACTAAAGAAATCCTGAGTGAAAACCTGCAGAATCAGAATGTGGCGTATTTTATCTTTCTGCCAACTTGCACTGGTACTTTTTTAAGTGGGATCAGATTACCAACACCTGTATATACATGTTTAGACACTTGAGTGTTTGCTTGAGTTTCTCGAAACATTCTCTTGCGTTTTAGCGAGGGCCGGCCACTCTGCGGCATTCATGCATCCTGTAGGCACACATGTAAAATATACCTGCAAAAACAAAACACACGTTCCATGAGATGAACAAGACTTGCTGGAAATCAAACCAAAAAAATAATCCACCTGTACTGACCTGCAAAAAAGGTCATGAGCAGAGCGACCCAGCCCAGAATGTAGGACCATGAGAAACGCCAGTCGCCGAAACGCTTCCCGAGGAAGTTGACCGTCACTCCGGTGTAGATGGCCATAGCGAGCAAAACAAAGAGCGCTGGAGGAGACAAAAATGAAAAGTTCAGACGACTTCTTATGTTCATTGTCTACCTGTATAAGCAAAAGAAGCAAAGAAAAGACTTACTGGAGATAGTTTAAGTATTTGCTATTGACTGTTCAAATGCGGAGTTTTGCGCATCGTGTGTGTGTGTGAGAAAGAGAGAAAGAGAGAGAGAGAGAGAGAGAGAGACAGGGTCACATCACAGTTGAATCAGCTGTCATAACCGTGGCTTGTGTACTGCAAACTCATGTTCCCCTTTTGGGCTCTGTCTTTACATTTATGTTGAAAGATGAAGCTCTCGATTATGGTAAGTGGCGGTACATTTCTGACGAGTGCTTGCGGTGTCCGGCCAATCACAATGCACTGGGTCAGCTGACCAATCAGAGCAGACTGCGCTTGTCGGAAGGAGGGATTTTGTGGAAAACGAAGCGTTTGAGAGAGGCGGGGCATAGAGGACCTACAATAATGTACAGTATTTGAAAAATAATGTGTTTTTTGAATATTAAAGCATGTCAACATATTCTGTTACACAAAATACACAAAATAATGATCTTTAAAAAAGCATCATATGACCCCTTTAAAATGTAACAGTGATGACATCAAAATATTTATATAGTGAATTGTAATTGTAGCCTATAATCAATGTCAATTCAATAATTGGCCTTGTATTCCATACATAGGCCTATATTTAGCTCAAACAGCAGCATGGTGTTAGCAACATAAAGGTCATGGGTTCGATTCGCAGGGAATGCATGAACTAATACAAATGAGTATGCAGAATCCAATAAGTTGCTTTGGGTAAAAGCATTTGTCGAATGCATACATCTGATTTTAAGTATTATATGTTGTGCACAGCTGTTATATCAACAGCGCCGATTCATTTACACAGAAGCTAAGAAATAGGCTATTTTACATTCTTTTACTATTTTGCATTTCCTTTATGAAAAGCAAATGTAGTGTGCATTGATCACTCGGAAGTTTTGTTCCTCACAAAGCCAGTTTGACATCACGGTTGTACATGCATTTGCAATTTCCTATGTTTTCACAGTCCACACACAAGCAAAACAGCATCAGCTACTCGTACATCAGAACATGTGACATCATTAGGCTATACTTCACAGGAAGGACCAAACACCATTTAGCAAGTAGTTAGAAACACAACGCCAAACAGCAATGCCACAAAACAATATGTAACATGTCGCAATAGAGCTGGACAACAAACTCATTCATGCAAAACAGCACGGGATAACAAACAGTGTGTCCAGTGTGTACCAAAACTACAGTAACACTTGGAGAAATGACCAGCTATCATTAGGATCTCTACATAAGAGCCTGAATGCAGATGCTTCAAACTATACAAGCTTCATTTTATATATGGTTGCTTTTGAAAAGTGCAATTCATAATGTGACACAAGTATGTTGCATTCTCAGTATTGCCACAGAGGGCGCTCTAGCATAAACAGTTAGATAGGCTAAATATGTGAAAACTCTGTTTATAAAATGTTGAATAATATTTTTAAGCTATAAACTACACATAGCCTATGCATGTTGTGATATGACTAATGCTTAAATATCCTGCAGATTAAATCGGTGTAAACAACCATTCTAAACTTCTGCAGACCTTGTTCAATGTGTGCATTTCAACGTAATACTCTACATGAAGCTTCTGCATGATTGCACAACATTGCGGGACATTGTGTTTCATATGTGTCCCTAGACCACAAAACCAGTCATAAGGGTCAATTTCTTGAAATTGAGATGTATGCATCATCTGAAAGCTGAATGAATAAGCTCTCCATTGACGTATGGTTTGTTAGGATAGGACAATATTTGGTCGAGATATTTGAAAATATATTTGAAAATCTGGAATCTGAGGGTGCAAAAAAATCGAAATATTGAGAAAATCGCCTTTAGAGTTGTCCAAATGAAGTTCTTAGCCATGCATATTACTAATCAAAAATTAAGTTTTGATATATTTACAGTAGGACATTTACAAAATATCTTCATGGAACATGATCTTTACTTAATATCCTAATGATTTTGGCATAAAAGAAAAATGGATAATTTTGACCCATACAATGTATTTTTGGCTATTTCTACAAATATACCCCAGCGACTTAAGGCTGCTTTTGTGCTCCAGGGTCACATATACGAATTAATGCAGCTTTTAAACTGAGTTTAAATATTATATTTCAAAAACCAATGAGTGTACGCATGTGTGTGGGAAATCAGCTTCTCCTTTCATTAAAGCAGAATGATGAATAAACAAACAAACAAATAAAATAAGTAAATGATAAAAGGCTCAAATAAAAAAAAAATTCATTTAAATTCCTTTATAATATAATCTGTAATGAAAGTTTTTGCATTTAATTCTAAAGGAATTTTCATTAAAAGTGAATTTTTCACTCCTCACAACACATTGACGGTTTTAATAAAGTAAAAATAAAAAATGCATTTATAAAGATGATTACATACTTCCATCCATTAAGTTTCAAGAGTTCTATTTATTTATTTATTTAGATGATAATATAGTTTGTAATTAAATATTTTGATACTTTTTCACTAAACGTGAAACTTCCAGTATACATGAAGACTTTAAAAAGTTTTTATTGAAGTAGAACATTTTTTTTTAAGATTACATATTTTTAGTTTTGATAGTTCAATTTTCAATTTATATGTCTGATAATATACAGTCATACAGTCACAAGGATTTTGCATTTAATTATAAAAGAAGAGTTTTTACTAAAAGTGAGACTTTTGTTCACCACTATACACAATGACTTAAAAAAAATGAAGATGATTACATCCTTTCATCCATCAAGTTTCAAGAGTTTACATATGGTTTGTCAGCTTGAAGGGCCTCCTCACTAGAAACTGCAACAAACAATCACATTTATCCTGAAAACCATCACAAGCGTGAATTAGTCAGTGACTGAGATGTCCGAGGGATTCTTACCTGAGGTCTTCAGGATAAATGAACCTGCTTAAGTATGACCTTCCCAGAGGGAATCAGAGAGAAAGTGGGACCCGCAGCGAGCGTAACGTCAAAAGGACCCGCCAGGCCGAATTCCAAAAAGTTATCTTCTCTGCTTTTCTGTCGATGGAGGCAAAATCCTTTAAAACAGGCCACACAGAACAAATGCACTTGAGCTTGATGCTGTGGGAGGCACGTGACCATTGCACGCCGGCCGGGTCCGCGCTCGGGGTTTGGAGGGGGAAGGCTCTTTTTGTTGTTGTATTGGCCGTTCTGGAACTGTGATGTGCAGAGGCTTGCAGTACTGCTGCGGTCAATGCAACATGCTGAAGCGCACACTTTCATTCAGCCGTGCATGTGGTGACACACCGTGAGTGGACACATGATGGTGTCGCTTATGCACATTTTCACTCCCATCACATGTCCATGACTCTCTTTTGACAGTGCCGCAATGACTTTGATGTGATAGATGAAATGGCTTATTAGTAAATGTTTTTATGCATGAGAAAATACTAATGTGGCTACAGTGCAGTGATAAAAAAGTAATGCAAGATCAGAAATCTTCTCGGATAATATACCACATTGTGAAAAAGATTTTTCTAAGTTGTAAATAAAACAAAGATTAGAGGGTGTATTTCAAGAAAATTCTATTTCAGTCTCTCTACTGCAAAATTTCATGTATAATTCAATGTTACTTGATGCTTCTTTGTGATTATTTGTGAAATCTACCAGCAATTTCTGAATTAAGAAGTGTTTCTGTTTTTCAGTGCATCAAATTATTTTTGTCTGATCATTCGGAAGTTTGTATGGAAGAAAAGTTTCAAATTAAGTTCAGAAAAAAATGAAATGCGGGTTCTTGCTCTTTTAAGTACTAAAAATGTCTCAGATGTTTTATTCCTTAAAAAAAATACCCCTAGAGAAATAACGTCCATAGCATTCATTAAGAGTACAGATCTATAAAATGTACATATTATTTGATTTTTGATCATTTGATAAGAAACGTGATAAGAGTTCATTTTGAGATCTCTGACTTTTTAATCTGAGCAAAGTTTAACATTGCCGAGACTCTGAAACTGATATTTACTGAGGTTACTGATATTTTTTCAGGAAAATGTCATTTTGAAAAGTCATTTATTTGATCAAAAATTCAGTAAAAGCAGTACAATTGTGAAATATTATTACAATTTCAAATAACAGTTTTATATTTGAATATATTACGTAATTTATTTCTTTGCTGCGCAGCTGAATTTTCAGCATCATTCCTCCAGTCTTCAGTG